CCTGCCCACCTCCAGGGAGGATGGGGCAATAGCCACGTGCCTTCAGGAGCACCTTGCTCCTGAGCTTTTTGCCCGGTCGGTCCACAATTCCCACCTTCCAGTGGGGTCCCACTGCAGATAACCCAGCCCAGGCTCCCATGTGGGGGAAGCCCATCTTCTCCCAGGCCCATCGGAGCTATTCACCACCAAAGCATTCCTTGGGCAGGGAGTTGAGCGCAAACTTGAGCAGAAAGCAAATGCTTTCAGCACAACACTCCTTGCTTTGAGTTGCCTGATCACAACTGAGAAGTGTTGGCCCCAAGCTGAAAACTCCCAGTTGCTGAGAGCCAAGAAGGCTTTGGCGGCGAGCGGTGCTTCCCGGTGAACCACTGTGATTTCCTGCCACGGGAGAATGGCTCCAGCAATGCGCTTGAGTTTAATTAAACGTGGCCTTGGGAGTAAGAGCCCCATTTTCCCAAGCCAGCCACAGGGAAAGAGCCATCCTGGGGCTGGAAGCCGTGCTTTGCATCCCTGATTTCGGGTGCGAGCATGCGGATCCGAAGCCTTCACTTCCATGCGGTGAACCCGCCTGGGCCATGGCTCAAGTGAAGCCTGGGCTGCAGGAGAGCTGGCCCAGGCCCCTGCAGCTTCCACAGCGCTTCTGCAGAAGCGAAGGGGAAAGGGAAGGTCCTGCTGGAGCTCTTCCTGTAGGGCAAAGAGAAGCGAGGTGCTCGGAAGCTGGGTTGCAAAGCCCCGTTGCAAAATCTGTGCTGTGCAGGCGCTTTTCAGAGCCTCCCCTAAAGAGGAAATCTGTTTGCTCGTGGGGCTCTGGCTTTCGAGCTCAATTTCTGCTAAGGCTGTAGGAGGGAAGCTCGCAAATGGTGGCTGTGTGTGATCCGAGGCTTCCTCTGATGTCATGTCTGTAAGATACAGCCTTTACTACAACCCTCGCGGAGCCACACCGGGATCTGCGTGGCTCAGCAGCTTATCCCGGGGTCTCTCCTCTTGGCTGCCCCCAGACTGCAGATTCCAGGCCCTTTTTATAGGCAGCACCTGTTAGTTTCCCCCATAGGCAGCCCGACTGCAGGTGAAATTCCAATGGGATTATTTTGGGGCTTCTCTTGCCCTTCAGCAAGTGCCCGCAGGGCTCTGGATGCCGGTGGCCAGCTGCACGCTGCTTCTGGAGCACGCAGCCACCCTGGAGCTGCTCACCCAGCCCCTTTGGAAGGGGGAAAAAAGCTCTATTTTTATCGGGAAGCATCCGAGCAGCCTCTCCTGGATTCAACCCCAGCCTCTCGCAATCTGTTCCGTATCAAATACTTCAAAAGGTGGAATACAGGGGGAAGGAAAATGTGTCACCGAGCTGGGAAACTTGCGTCGCAGCGGGAGGGCTGGGGGTGATGCTGCTCCCAAATTAAACCCGAATGCCAGGAGGGAGGCTCTGCCAGGCCAGGCGCAGCACGATGCCATTGCTCGTGCCGCTGCTCCAGGCTGGAAGTGCTCCGGGTTTGCCTTGCGAGGGTGCTCCCACCTACATGGGAATCGTCAGGTGATGCTTTGGGGGGCTCTGATCCCCTTTGCTAACTCCGGAGTGTGGGGTAGAGCAGATTGCAGGGGCAGAGCACCTGAGCTGCCCTGGATCTCGACAGCAGAAGAGTCAGTTTGAAAGCGAAGTCTTCAGGAGCTCCTGCCATGGGGTGGCACCGTCAATGTGCAGGTGGGAAGCAGTTTCGTGCTGGAATGGGGAGAGATGGGGCTCGTGTTTGCAGCACGAGGACCCCCCTGCATCCCATTTCCAGGCACACTGGGAGCAGACCCGGTGCTGGCAAACAGCAACTGGGAAGGGGCTCCCTGGCCCTACCTCTTACTGGGGTGAGCACGCAGAAAGGGGAAGGAGGGAGGCTGCCGGCTGCAAGGAGAAGCTGCCATGGGGGGGGGGGAAAGGAGGGAAGGAGCCGCAGTGGAAACTTTGTGCTTTCGAACTTGCATATTCTGGGGGTTTCTGACAACTTCCCCTTTGTGTGTTCCCATGGCAGGGGGTGGCGGCATCGCCCTGGGGCTGCTGCTGCAGGAGCTTGGAGGGGGCTTGGTCAGGATGGTCCCGCTGGGTGCTGCGTGCTGCCGGCTGCTCTGACCGGGGCTTGTGCTCCTCGGTGGGAGGCAGGAGCGGGTCCTGTTAAAGTGACGTGTTGCTAACGTGCTGTATCATGGCTGAAGCTCATGTTTAATAGATCTCCTGCAAACCCTGAGCGGGGTGAGCTGAAGAGCGGAGCTGTGTGTGAAAGGCTCTAAAGCAGCGAGGCGGCTCATAGCAGAGCACATGGGAAAATACCCCAAAGCCACGTTTTAGTCCTATCTAAGAGGCTACCGAGAGCCACGTGTGCCTTCTGCAGTGACCGGCGCTGCCCGTGCAGCCTCCTGGCAGGCAGCATGGGAGCAGTGGGAAGCCCTTTGTTCCCTGCCTGCTCTGGGAGCAGCAGCACTGACAGAGAAGCCCCGTATGGCAACGGCCCTGCTGCAGCAGCACCTCCAGCATCCTGTCACTGGGCAAGGGCACGGGCCCTGCCTGCAGATCCCTCTGCTGCTGCTGCCGGGAGAGGGGATGATGTGAGATGCACAGGGAGCATCCATAACCCCGCTCCAAACCCCTCTGCCTGCGAAGGTAAATCCCTGTGAGCCCAGGAGCCTTGGGGAGCTACAGCGCCAGGGGTGGCTGCACTCAGCTCAGTTTAACTGCCCCAGGACCCCATCGCTGCACCCAAGAAACATACTTCAGGGATGAGCAACGCCTCTGTGCCCACCCCAACCGTGCTCCGGTGCTGGGGTCAGCTCCAGGACCCCAAGGCAGGCGCTTCCCCCCACGTTCCCCCCCTCCGGCACGACGCGTGGCTCGTGGGGAGATGGGACAGATGGAGAGAGGGAGGATGAAGAGGAAGCGCTTGGCTCGCTGCAGGCTGGGCTCTGCTGCACGGGGCGGCGCTGGCCCCTCCGAGCAGGGGACCCTTGTGGGGCTGCAGGGGGGGCACTGCCCCACACAGGTCACTATTACACAGGGGTGCAGAGGGGAGCAGGCGGCGGCTGCTAATGAGCAGAGTGAGCAACCAGCAACGTGGCCACCGTGGGGATGTGAAGGGGCTGGCGGTCCCTGTGCTCGCCGCAGCCTGGTCCATGGTCTGGGTCACATCCCCATGGCGAGAGGTGAATGACGAGGGGCAGGTGATGCTTCTGTGCTCTCAAACTTCCTCTGTGTGTTTCTTACCCCCTTCTTGGGAAAGGTCAGAAGCAGAAGGCAGTGGAGAAGCTCAGGAGATGGAGCAGCAGCAGCGTGCGCCCTGTGTCACCGTGCTCTGCACATGGCGCACGCAAACCCCCGTGGAGGGCAGGGGCTCTCTGCACTCTGGTTTGGTGTCACCCAAGAAATGTGGATTTGCCTTACAGAGCCCAGATGCAAGACCAGGGATCAGCCTGAGCGATGCAGTTCGGATGTGACACAAGCCAGGCTTCTGTCTTTCAGCACTTGCCTTATGGGGCAAGCTTGCTCTGGTGCTGAGTGCTGCTAATGCGTTGTCCTTGACATGGCTTTGAAGGGAAACACCAAGAGCTGAAGGTTTTGTCTGTGGGCATCTGCCTATGATGTGGATGCAGCAGCCTAATGCCCTGGGCAAAAAGCCTTTAATTTGGGGAGCCCGGATGAAGTGGTGGCTCTGGCCATTGAGATCATGTAATTGTGCAGACAGTGAGAACATCTGTGGGTGCATCAAATACTGCTGGAAGTCAGGAGGGATTCACGGCTGCCAAAATCCCTCTCCAGGCTCTGTGGGAGCCAGCCTTGGCTGGGTAGGGGCAGAGCAGCCTGTCCTGCAGCGGCTTCTCCTGGGAGCATCCAGCCAAGGGTCTTGGCCCATCCTGGGGACGGCTGCAGGGGACCAAGAAGTCTCTGCCCTGGGTTTTATCTGCGGTGGGATGCAGGAGCTACCTGTTCAAGCCTGATGCTCTCTGCATGACCGTGACACCGGTTCCGTGTGCCACTTGCCAGCTCTGGGGTTGCAGCAGCCAGCAGTGCCTGGCCCCTGTTATCAGCAAGGTTTAAGTGGTTCTCCCATGTTGCTTAAAACTATTTCTTTAAGCAGTGACCTGTATTGAAATCTCATTCAGTGTGGTTGTAGTAATGATGTTGGCGCTGCCAAAACCAACCCTTTGAGAGCCATGTAGGCTATGGGGTGGCTTATTCTGCTGCTGTAGCTACTTTAAGGGAGAAGGGAGCAGCAGCATCACTGGTTCATGGGGCTGAGCAGCTCCTGGTGCATCCTTCCTGCGTAGTGGTGGGCTTGGAGCCCCATCCCTGCCCACTCGGGTGCACTTTGTTACAGCCTGCCCATAGGGAGAGTGGAACTCCTGCTGTTTTCCTGTTAGGTGCTTCTCCCTGTGTGTAGGAAGGTGTATTGGCACCCATGGGGGAACGCTTGGGACAGCAGGTCTCTGGTTGTGTGGGGAGGTGCAGTGGTTGGCTGGAGGAGGGATGCTTGGAAGGGGAGTGCTCTCCTCTGTTGGCAATGAGCAGGGCTGGCATTGGCCTGACTGGCACCAGCTTTGGCTCATGGCTGTGCTCTGCTGGAAGGAATCAGGGCTTGGAGTCACTGCAGAAGTGGGACACTCGGTGCAGTTCGTGGCATTGCAGCTGCGAGGGGAGCTTGTGCTCTGGAGTGCCTCGGATCCTGCGCCCTTGTTTCCTCCTGTGTGACAGAGCCGAGCGGCGATGGGAGGCAGCGGCTGTGCCGGCAGCTGGGAACTGCCTCGTGTCCGAGCTGCTCTGAGCACCACGGGGGTTCACTGGCACAGCTCTGCCTGGCTGGGAGCACAGAGGTGTCTGATGCTTCTGTACCTGCAATCACTGCCCTGGGCTGCCTGCTACCCTGGTCCCCACTACCCGGAGCCGTGTGCTCAGCCTGGCCCAGGGGTGCGGAAGGGAACCTGGTCGGGTGTGCGGTGCCAGATGTGATGTGGTCTGATGTTCCCCCCAGGTACCAGTGCCCAGGACTTCAAGCTAGATCAGCCCCAGGGCAATGTGTCAGTGACAGCGGGGGAGACGCTCACCCTGACCTGCACCACATCTGGAGATGGTCCCATTGGTCCTGTGAAGTGGCTGAAGGGCTGGGGCAGTGAGAATGAGACCATTTACGACCAGACGGGCACGTTCCCCCGTGTGATGAGGGCAGCGACTGGGTCCGGCACAGACTTCACCATCCTCATCAGGGACGTTCGCCTCGAGGATGCCGGCACCTATTACTGCGTGAAGTACCAGAAGTCTGTGCATGGTGTTTCGGTGTTTAAGCGTGGAGAGGGCACTGAGGTGTCCGTGTACGGTGAGTGGGGCTCCCAGAGCAGAAGGGGCTGGGTGCTGCCCCAGGAGCAGGTGCCGTGGGTCACCCCTGGCCATACCCATGTCCCCATGGGAGCCCCGGGGCCGGGCAGGGCTGGCAGAGCCCGGTCTGACGGCCCCGTTGCTTCTGTTCTCCCGCAGCCAAACCCAGCAGGCCGGTCGTGTCCGGGCCAGAGAGCAGAGCAGGGCCGGGGCAATCGGTGCCTTTCACCTGCACGGCCGGAGGGTTCTTCCCCAGAGAAATCGCTGTGAAGTGGCTGAAGGACGGGGCCCAGATCTCGGCTCAGCAGCCCCAGGTCACCCCCGGGCAGACGAAATCCTCCTACGACGCGTCCAGCACCGTGTCGGTGACGCTGCAGGAGGGCGACGTCCGCTCGCAGCTGCAGTGCGAGGTTCATCACCGCACGCTGCCGGCCCCGCTGCGGAGCAGCTTCCAGCTCAGCCGAGCCCTGCGAGGTGAGGGCTGGGGGGGCCGCGCTGCGCTGTGCGGCTGCCGCGGGGCACGGGGCGCGCTGCGGGCAGCGGGGCCGGGGATGGCCCGCACCAGGCGCTGCCTCTCTCCCCAGTGCCCCCCAGCGTGCAGGTGGTGGCTGAGCCGCCGAGCCCCGTGGAGCTGAACAAGACGGTGAACTTGACGTGCCTCGTGAAGGGGTTTTACCCGGGAGACGTGGCCGTCGCCTGGCTGGAGAACGGGACGGAGATGAGCGCGGGGAGCGCCCCCCCGCCGGCGGAGACCCCGCGGGGCTTGTTCGAGCTGCGCAGCCTGGTGGAGGTGCAAGCGACGGAGGAGAAGAACGGGTCCGTGTTCACCTGCCGCGTGGTGCACGACGCCCAGGGCCCCATCAGCGGGACGAGCACCCTGCGGATCGCTGCCCCGGCCAAGGGCGGGCTGAGCGACCGGTCCCAGACTGATAACGGTGCGTGAGAGCTGCAGGGATGCTGTAATATGCCCCCCCCCCCCCCAAGCTTAGAAACCCCCCCCACATCTGGTCCAAGGACACAGCATCTCCCTATTGGGGTTTGGGGGGTTTTCACAGGTACTGATGTATTGTCCTCAGTGCTTCAGGTGTCCCCCAGCTGTGAGCCTGCAAGGACTGGGTCAGTACCAGTGTTTTCAGGCCCACAGTGACCTTTTTCATTCATGTTTCAGACAATTTGGTCCTCATTTACATCGTGGTGGGGGTGGTCTGCACCATGCTGGCACTGCTGGTGGCTGCAATTCTTTACCTCATCCGGGCAAAGCAGAGCAAAGGTAAGGAAAGCAATGGCAGAGGAGAAGCTGCTCCTGACCCCCTTTTCCCTCATCTCAGGCATCTGGGGATGCTGAATTCCCAGCTCTGCTCCTGCAGCTCCTGCCCAAAGGGGAGGACGGAGCGGAGCCTACTGGGCTGGTTGCAGGGAAGGCTCTGCCTGGTTGCTGCTGTGTTCCAACGGCTGCCAGTCAAACCTGCTTGTTGTTCATTGTGCCCAAAATACCTGACCCTCCCCTGCAGCTCCTGCAGTGAATGGAGCGAAACCCCAGCAAACTGCAGGCATTTGCCTCTGGGGAAAGATGTGTATCTGCTCCTGTAGCAGTCTCTGCATGGGGGCTGGCATTCCGTGGGGAAGGAGGGGGGTCCCGTTGTTTCCTGGTCTGTTTCTTTCCTAAACCATTTCTCTTCCGGCAGGTAAAAGCTCACCATCAGCTAGGTAAGTGCAGACCTCTAGTCACTGATTAACCCATGGGCCCTTTGAGCTGGACAACCCAGCCTGCAAACAGGCTCCTTTGGGGCTGGGATGCAGCTGGATCCCTAAAAGCTTGTGAAAGGGAAGGCCAGGAGCACAGGCGCTGCCCCTCTCCCTGGTTGTGGTTCTGCCCTTGCAGTGATCTTGTACCCAAACACTTGGCTCTTGGTGGCGCTGGACAAGTGGGTGGGAGGTGGGATTCCAGGGATGCAGCTGGACCAGCAAGTGAGCAAACACTCATCGGTGGGGATGGGGACTCATCCTGCTGGGTGCTGCTGCAAGGAGCTTGTTCTGCATCCCCCCCCCAGCTGCTCCATCGCAAGGGAAGAGGCAACGGGGCCTTTGCTTGATGTGACTTTTGCTCCCCTTTTCAGGTTACATGAGCCGGAAAAGAGCAGCGAGGCCAATACCCAGGTGATGCACTGACCCCGGGGAGGCAGCGCAGTGGGGAGGCACCGGAGGCAGGAGGAGGGTGGTTCCTGCATGAAACATCTCCGTGCCTCCAGTGGAGGGTGGTGGTTCCCCTGTGAAGCACCAGAGTCTCCACACAGCGGCAGGAGAGGGAAGGAGCGCTGCCCTGGCCATGGGGTAGCCACTTCCAGCATCTTTTCTGCCTTCGCCCTCTCCTCCTTCTCCTCCTCCTCGTGGAAGTCTGGGTTTGTGGTGCCTGAGAGCCAGCTGTGCGATAGCCAGCCAGGCTATTTGTGGAGTTGTTTTGCATTCGGTGACGCAGCTACGAGCAAAGTCGTGATCAGCAGCAATCTGTCCGTCCCACCCAGCCTCTGCCAGCTCCGGCGTGGGCATCGCTGGGCAGCCTGGCCCCTGCTCAGTCCCTGCACCCGGAGTACGCCTGCATCCAGGGTGATGGGGTGGCTCTTGAGTCACGGTGCTGGCGCTGAAGCCTCTCAGTGGTGGTTTGGAGATGTAATGTGGGGTAAAGCATTGCTGTGGGGTTGTCCTAGCCGGCTGCTGGCATCGCTCCTCTTCATCACAGCCTGGTTTGTGTTGGAAGGGACCTTAAAGCTCCTCCAGTTCCATCCAGGGACCCCTTCCACTGGAGCAGCTTGCTCCAAGCCCCTGTGTCCAACCTGGCCTTGAACACTGCCAGGGATGGGGCAGCCACAGCTTCTCTGGGCACCCTGTGCCAGTGCCTCAGCACCCTCACAGGGAAGAGCTTCTGCCTCAGAGCTCATCTCAGTCTCCCCTCTGGCAGGTTAAAGCCATTCCCCTCTGCCTGCCCCTACAGGCCCTTGTAAAAGGTACCTCCTGTACAAGCAGAGACCAAGCTGCAGTGGGACCGACTTCACTGCAGGGTTTGGGCTGGTGCATGGGTGGTCATGGGGAAGCTCCTCGCTCATGCTTCCAAAGGAAGAACTCCTGGTGTCCCCCACAGGAATCCGACCCCAACAACCTGACCTACGCGGACCTGAACTTCGACAAAGAGAGGAAAACCATCCGCCGCATGGTGGAGATGAGCCAGCAGTCGGAGTACGCCTGCATCCAGAGCAGCCGGGCGCCCAACGGCGATGACAACCTCACCTATGCCGACCTGGACATGGTGCACCTCAGCAAGGCACCCCCGCGGCCGGCCCCGCGCCCCGAAGAGGCCGGCTCTGAGTACGCCAGCGTCCAGATCCCGAGGAAGTGAGCAGGGCTGCAGCGGGACCCCCGCGTCACGGGGAGCCAGCCTGCCCCTGCCCGGGAGGATGTTCTTGGGAGCACCGAGAGCGATGTGAAGATGCGCTGCGGTACCCGCGTTTTGGGATGGAAATGGAGCCCCCCGCACTGTGGGGGTTGGCTCCCATCCGCAGAGACCTGATTTTGGGGGGGGGGGCAGCTTTGTCCCGGGGCTGCCGGCTCCATCCCTTGGGGATCCCCCCCGTAGCCATGGGGACTGCTCAGCCTCGGAGTGCCGGGATTGCCCGTGAGCGGGTTAATCCAGCAGAGCAGCGACAGTGCCTCCACGCCGGCTCCCATGGGAATGCCACTGCCGCCCTGACCCCGCAGGGATGGGCTGGAGCCCCTGCACTGCCTTCTGGGGCTCTGCTGCCTGGAAACCAAACTGGCTTTAAAGGAAGGACCGGAGCGTCCGCATCTCTCTTCCCAAGTGTCCCTTCTGCGGGCCAATGATGCTGGGAAGGCCGGCGAGCCGAGCCCCCCCCGACCCCCCAAGGCTTCTGCCCATCCTGCCGCCCAGGGAGGCTCCAGGTACGCCCCCCCCCCCCCGGCACAGAGCATCCTTTTCATCACCCTCTACACAGCCTTGCCCTGCCCCGGCACCCACCAGCGCTGCCCCAGGCTTGTACAACGCGTGCAGCTCGTCCCCGGCCGGTGCCCCCCCCCAGCCCGGCTCCCTCCCCGCAGGTACCGTGTAACATGTTTTGACTGTTCGCCATGTAACTGTTAATTTCTCGAGCTAAACCCCAATGTTCCGTGCTGTACGTGGGTGTTCTGCTGTGTACTTAACACTAGAATTAAGATGTGCAAAACGAAGACCGAGGCCCCAGCTACGACCCCTAAACCCCACAGAGCTCTAAAGGGACTTGCACAACCCCTCCCCAGCTCTAGAGCGGGGGCCAGGCAGGTTGCCCCCAGCCCTTCCTTGGGGATCAGTGTCTTCCAAGTGCCCCCTCCCTGTGCCCCACTACACAGGGACACCACCCTGCGCTGGCTCCCATAGCACCCGGGTGGCCTTGCGGCATGGGGCTGGCCCCCCATGGTTGCTGGGGGGGGGGGGGGGGAGGGCTGGAGGGACTGGGGATGTTTTGGGAGTGGTGGGACTGCTTGTACAGAACTTTTTTGGTTTCTTCTTTTTGCTTGCGAGATATTTTTATAATAAAAGTGGAAAGTCCTGTGCTGCTCCCCCCCATCAGCGTGTCCCCGTGCACTGGGGGCTGCCTGTCCCACAGCAGGGAGGGGGGAATCTCAGCTTGCACAGGGAGGAAGAGCAGCAGGAGGTTGAGGTTGGGATGAGGGCTATAGGACTGGTCCCCCTGGGCACCTCTCCCCATGCAGCCCTGCTGCATCCAGGGGCAGCAGTGATGGTGCGTGGGGTCCTGCATCCCCATCAGCATCCATGGCACAGGCAGGGTACCACTTCATGCTGCCTGATGGTCTCGGCTGGCACCCCTGGCACCCCCATCAACCCACCAGGCCCCAGCTTCAGGGTGCATGGTCCCTTCATGCCAAGGGTGTGGAATGGCCCATGGAGGACGCTCAGCACAGCTTTGGCTTTGTTGGCATCTGCCTTTTATTGGCTTGGGGGGGGGAAGAAGGGGCACAGGTCCAATGCTCCAGCTCATCCTTCCCGGTGCTCAGAGGCCATTGCCCTCTACATCAGCCGTGATGGTTCCCAGACCCTGCTGTGCTCTGCAGCTGTGGGAGGGTGGAGGATATGGGTCCCCCCCCTTAATTTGCCCCCCAGGAGCCCTGGGGCTGGACCCGCAGCCGCACCAGCAGCAGCCAGAGGGGTGGCACTGTCCCCTTGGTACCTGGGGTCCCTAAGGGACTGGCAGGTGAACCAGGGAGGGATCACTGGGGATGGAGACCTGTGGTCCCCTGGGTGGATGAGGCAGGGATGACACCGGCCACACCAGACTGGGAAAGGGATGGGGCCGGGGGGTGACGGCACAGTCCAGGCTGGCAGCGTGGGGACCCTGATGCCGGGCTCTATAGGTCCAAGACCTCCCCTGAGTAGGCGCTGGGGTCCTCGTCCGCCCGCGTGTTCACCTTGAACTGCCGCCGCAGGAAGCCCCCGTAGCGCTTCTGATTGTCCCACTTGAGCTTGGGCCGGATGCGGCGCATGAAGCCGCCGTAGCGCTTGTGCAGCTCCTGCCCCTCGGCCCCGGCGCCCGTGGGCTCCTCCTCGCCCCCAGCCCCTGCCAACCCCGGGTAGTCCTCGGGGGCCTCCCGCTCCCCGGGCTTGCGGCCGAAGCCCCCGAACTTCTTGCTGAGGCCGCCCTTGCTGTGGGCGTTCTCGCGCAGCAGGGACAGCAGCTTCCCCTTGGACATCTTCATGAAGCCCCCGTAGCGCTTGGCCGGCGCCAGCGGCTGCTCGCCAGGACCCAGCTCCTGCTCCGGCTCTGCCTCCTCCTCCTCCACCGGCTCCGTCCCCTCAGCCAGAGCCACCAGCGGGGCCAGGAGCGCCAGCGCCTTCCTGCACGTGTCCCACTCGGGGCCCGGGGGTGAGGAGCCCTGGCATTCCCACAGGCACATCTGTAAGACAGCAGCCCCAGGACCCCCACTGGCATCACCTTGATGCTCCGGGTGATCCCTGTTCTCCATCCCACCCTGCTTCTGCGGTTCCCACTACCCAAGCACGGCAGTCCCTGTCCCTTGTGATCCCAAGCATAGTGAGGTGCTGCAGCTCGCCCGCGCCCATCACCCTGGGGTACCCGCACCACCACCCCGTGCAGCAGCACCCGTGATGCTGTGACTCACCAGGGGCCAGATGCTGGTCTCGGTGCCGTGGGTCTGTGCTGCACAGAGGGAGCACTGGGTCACGCAGTTGGCCGATGCCGCCGCAGCCAGGGAGAGGCAGAGCACCAGCACCAGCGCCCTCCGCACCATTGCACCCCACAGCCGCTGCCTGGGGAGGGAGAGACAGAGCCCATCAGCCTCCCTGTGCTGGCATCATCACTGCCCCACCGGCACCCTTAGTGCAGGGCACCTTCCATCTGCACCTGCAGGGCTGCTCCTGGGGACAGGCACCAGGACACCGTGCCCGTGTAACTCCGGGTGCTGCTCCTGGGTCCAGGCAGGGAGAGAAGGGGACAGGAGTGACTGCAGGGGTGCTGCAGGATGTGATCGCTCACCCTGGCTGCAGCCTGATCTTTGGCACAAGCCCGGAGCCTCTCAGGGCCCCAGGTCTACTGAGGTCCGCAGAGGCCATCATCCCATCCCACCCCATCTGATCCCCATCCCATCGCTCTCTCCTTCCACACCATTAGAAAGAAAAGCCCCTTTTTGTCCTCACTGTTGAGTTTCTCTGCAATATTGTGATCCCCACATTAGCACAGAGGAGATTAACCACGGGCTCTCCCCCTTGGCCTTGGGGAAGAAAAGCAAAACAAATGCAGCCACCGGCAGAAAGGGGACAGGGTGATGCCATCACCAGATATGAAGCCACCCCACACCTGCACCTCCCTGGTTCCTCTCACTCCCACTACTACTGCTTCTGCTGCAGCAGAAGGAAAGGGGAAAAGCTGGATTCCAGGCTCAAGCCTACCTGCAAGCCAGGACCACCACCTCCCAGCCTGCCTGGAGCCAAGCCAGAGCCTCTCACCTTCATGGATGAGACCAGGGAGAGCTGAACTCATGGTGCAATGGCTGGGAAAGGGGCTGTGCTGCTCCAGAACCCCTCAGCAAGGCTGGAGGGGACAGTGCCAGCCCTGGCTGCGGTGCCACAGGACCACGGTGCCACCGGGACCATGACAGCCCTGGGTGCAAGAACCAACCCCAAAAGGATGCGCTGGCAGCAAGCCCCTGCCCACCTCCTTGCCTGCTTTCATCTAGGGTGGAAAGACATGACCCAGAGGGATCTGTTACACATTAATGACGCATATCAGAGACTATTGTATTCTCCAGCACTATCTGCTAATGCTCTGTAATTGGTCCTGATGAAGAAGTGTTAATGCCACGGTATTAATTCAGGCTAGATTAAAACTTCATTTGAATTAATCCACACCGCCGTGTGTCGCGCTCTCTGCATTCCCCGGCTGCACCGCGCAGCCCGGAGCGTGGCACCTCTGCCAGTCCTGGCACCGGGATGGGCACGGAGGGACCTCAGCCAGCCCTGGCCACCAAGACACAGCAACGGGACCTTGGTACCGCACTGAGACAGCACCGATGAGCGAGGACCTGCTCAGGTAAGTGCCGGCTGCAGCACAGAGGGGAAGGAAGCTCCTGAGAACCACCCGCTGCTTCCAGCGGCTCCACTGGGAATCTTTTCCCTTCTTCTTTTCCTACCTGTTTCCCTTCCCTTGCCCGTGCCGTGTGCCGGTGTCACCGGAGCAGCCTGCAGGGATCACACCATCAGTGTTCACCCCATGCTGCAGGTGCGACCGGCACCGCACAGCTCAGTGCCTGGCATTTCAGACATGGTGTGTCCCATCCCTGCCACCCGGCTCCATACGGAGCACTCCATGGCACTCAGGGGAGCTGCAGCGTGGCCAAGGACCCTCCATGCCCATGCACCCCAGAACACCCCACTCCAAATGTGCCTTGTCCATCTCCCTGCTCCTGCCGCCAAGGGGTGTGTGTGTGGGAGGGTGACTGGGAAAACTGGGACAGGAAAAGGGAGAAAAGCAAAGGGCTTTGAATAAAAGCGAAAAGCAGCAGCACACAAAGGGGGGAAGAAGAAAAGCGGAGTTAGAGCTGGATCCTGCATTACCTGGAGGAGCACCGAGGCTCCGGAGCCATCCCTCCTGCAGGAACACCTCGGTAGCGATGCCAGTGGTGGGTCCTGGCACATCCTACCTGTGTCAGGCGCCTGCCGGGATCCCCTGCTCCCCATCCTGCTTCCACTCGAGTGCTCGGTGCCCAGGTTTGCTTGTGTGTAGAAAAGCCCCAAGCTGCATCCATGCACCCCGGGGCCAGTTACAGACCCAAGGAGGGACGGGGAACCCTGGTGTGTGCCAGAAAGCACAAGGAGCGACCCTGCATCCTGATTAACCTGTGGTTATTGCTAGTGGGATGTGAACAGCTCTCCCAGATCTCTCCTCCCACACAGGTCTAACCTGGGCAGGTTGGGACCTTGCACGTATTGCTGGTGGAGACGAAGAATCCCTTTCCAGCAGTTCCTTTCCTCACCTTTCAAAACGATCTGGAAGCACCTTCGGGACAAGGCTCTGCCTAAAAGACAACGACTTTTGGGACAGCATCACAGCAAACCCCAAGCTGCTGCTTGAGACAGAAACCTCCCTCCGTCCTCTCCCCTGGCTCCCTTTGTCCCTCTTAGCCCTGTGTGACCCGAGGCCAGACGTGGCATCAGCATGGAAGCAAACCCCAGCTCTGGACAGCAGCTCGTGGGCTCTGAGCCCGCTCGAGGGACGAGGAGCACATGGCCGCAAGCCCCTCCGTGACCCGCTCCTGGCACCACGGCTCAGGTCTGCTTGTCGAGTCCCCCTTATTGAGTGGCACCACGCGATGGGAGCGGGGCGGTGACCCCGGCTGCAGCCCTACCTGCGCTGTGCCCTCGACGAGCCGGGTCGGGACCGGCGGATGCGCTCCCTCCGCGGGCGTCAGGCTGAGCCGCTCATCGGCGGTGCCGGCAGGGCCGCGGTGCCGCCGGACTCGCCACCCGCCGCCTCTCACCCCGCTTTTATGGCCACGGAGTCTCCTCCTGCGGCGGGGCCCGGCTGCGCTCGGCGCCGTGGAGCCAATCGGGGCGAGGGAGGCTGTGAATAATCAGCCCCGCAGCATCCTCAGCACCTCCCGAGCAAGTTCTCCCGCTGTGCCAGGGGCTCCCCAAAGCCCCCTCCCGGCTGCCCCGAGCACTGGGGTGCACGTCCCATCACTGCACTGCCATTGACAGCACCCCAGCCTCGTCCATCAGGGCTGAAACTTATGCACCAGACACAGGAGGTGGCAGCTCGGGGTCCATCTGCCCCCCTGGCTGTGTGCTGGAGGGGTTTTGCTGCTGGGGGTGTGAATCCCCCCTGAGCATCACATTCAAATCCTGCCCAAGGGGGATGAAGCCCTGATTCCCCCCTGCGCCCCGCGCTCCAGGCTGGGGAGATGCTGGGGAGAGGAATGAGCCCATCTGAAGTGACCAGGACAGGCAAAGGAGGGTCTTAACACACTGGGAAAGGCTGGTACCCCTCCAAACCCACCCAGCCTGGCTGCTGTCAGGCATCAAAGCCCTTGCACAGACACCCCCCCACCATGTCCACACTGTCGGGGCTTGGACTCACCAGACTGCCCCTCTGTTCCCCCTCTTGAGGACAAGCCCACAGAGCTGAGTCAGAGGGGCACAGAGACCAGAGTGGGAGGATGGAGACCCCCCGAGCCCCCAAAGCATCCCTGCTCACCCCCAACTCCTGTCCAAACACCTCCAAGCCTGATTTGAGGGTGAAGGAGGGCAGCACCAGGCAATACCAGACCCTCAGCCCATGCACCACTGTCCCCCTGCACCATGTCACGATAGAGGTGTGGGGCTGGGGGGTCCAGGGCACAGACCCCACGGGTCCGGGCCAGCCGGTCCTGTTCCTGCTCTGCCAGCACCGCAGCCCCGTCCTCTCGCCTTGAAGACGGAGCTATTTTTATCGGAGCTCAAGAGGAATGTTTCCCAGCAACCTGCCTTTCTCCCTGGCTCCAGCAGCAGCTGCCGGACCCGGTGGCCCCTGCTCATCCTCCCAGTGCTGGTGGAGAGGCACAGGGGCCACCGGCATGGGCAGGAGCCTCCACTGGGCACCCAGCAACCATGGCTGGATGGGCAAAGCAGCCTGTGCCAGCTGTCTGTGGTCCCCTATCCCCATGGCTGGTGCCACCTCCGCTAGCACCCATGTTTGGGTGGCAAGCTCTGCTTCCCAGAAAGCACATGGGACCCCACAGCTTTTGCTTGGAGGTGGATTTTAGCTTGCCCAGGCTGGGGCTGCACCAGCTCTGAAGGACCAAGGGAGCAGGGGCAAGGCAAGGGCAGAGCATCCTGCATCTCCCCAGCACTGATGGAGGAGATAGCCCCTGTGGGACCTATCTGGGGGCAGAGCGCATCCATGGCCCCCCTCATTGCGGTGAGCTGGGCTGTGCAGGCACAGAACAATGCAGAGAACAAAAGCTGCAAATTACCCTCAGTCAGGGGCTTCCGGCATCCCCCCGGCAGGTTTAACCCTTGCTGCTGGGATTAGTGGTCCCAGGCGCAACATAGCCACTGCGGGGGGGGGGGGGCAGCATTTCTTACACCAAACCCATCCTTTCTATCAAATAGCCCTCCCAGATCCATGAATCCATCCCTAAAGCCCGGTCTCCTGGGGTCAACCTCCAATTCTGCAGGCAAACGGCTCCATGCAGGAGCAACAGCATTGCCCCAAAGGCTGGTGCCTGCCCGAGGACCATGGAGCCCAAAAGCAAAGCGGCTTCCAGCACCCCCTAAACCAAACAGCCCCTGGTGCAGCCACCTCCTGTGCAGGGTAATTGCACAGGAGGGAGATGTGCTTCTGCTGACGGAGCAAACCCCACAGGCATGGGAGAGAACTTGTTTGTGATAAGGTTTCTTCCTGATCACAATATTCCTCATCAAGGCTGATTCCCTTTGCTCCAGGGGGAGGTTGAACGACTCCTGTCCCTGGAGCAGAGCCGGTTTATTTTCTATGTGTGCCAGAGTTGGGCTGGGCTGGGCGAGGGGGTCCTCACTGGGGCTGGTTGGGGTCCAGGCCGCCGTGGGGGGGGGAATAACGGGGTCCTTTGGGAATGGAGCTGGGAGCGAGCCCACCCACCAGCAAGTTTAATTAATACTCATCTGTCGCTTCCTAATGGGAAAGTGTCTGTGAGTCACACTGACATTTCCCTGGGACAATGGGAATTAAGCACCTGGGTAAGAGAAACATGAGCACTAATAGGAAAGTTAAGTTTTCATAAGTACATGAGTGAGGAGCGGGCTCGGCGAGGAGGGGGACGAGAGCAAGTGGGAGGTAATGGCACCAACGTCACAGAGCGCTGCCACTCTGCCCGACACCCCCAGCACACACAGGGCCCTTCCAGGGTGCCCCCTTCCCATCCTGGGATGGGGAAAACCATCCCTGCAGGCAGGATGCTGCTGGGGGGAGCGTTTGAAGGCGGCCGCTCCGCTGTGGCTCCTATTGAGCTTTATCCTATTGAGTGGGACAGGGATTTTCCAGAAGCTCCTAAATGCTCGTTCTCCCTCCAGGCCCTCAATCAAGGCCAGGATGCCATGGCAGGGCAGGGAAGCAGCAGTTTTGCAGGCAGATGCAGGCAAGGGATGCCTGGGGCTGCTGCAGAGTAAGATGCATTTTGTGGGCTGCAAGAGACCCCGGTAGCTCCATGGGGAGAACTGTGGGGATGAGCTGAGCTTGGAGGACGCTCCCAAACTCCCTTCGGAGTCATTCACTCTGATTGATCACAGCACCCCCCGATGAACCTGATCTGGAGGCAGATGCCGGGCGGGCAGGGGGTGGTCACTGCTGCAGTGTGGGGACCAGGACCAGGACCCGGTCCAGCCCCTGCCTGCATCACACCGCTGTGGCTCGAGGTCACTGCGCAGCCCAGGCAGGCACATGGAGACCCTCCTGCATGGGCAAAGAGGCACAAGTGGCCACTCGATGCGGCACAAAGAGGGGAGCCCGCGGAACAGAGCGAGTCACGGCGCTGCCATCACCCCCCACCGGGAGCGCTGGGCTGCGGAACGGCCCCCGCATCCCGCGGCCTTGAGGTGAAGCGGCTCCATTTAAAAGCAAATTGAGTTCAAAGCACTTGCGGGAGCTGCAGCCTGAGCCGCAGAGGGTCAGCTCTGACGTGGGGCCATCACCTGCCCTGTACAGCAGTGCTGGTGGCTCGCGGGGTCTCCATCCTCCCTGGGGGACGGACCACTGCGATGCAGCCCGGAGCTGCTGCGTGATGGCAGCGGCACAAGCCTCGGGAGTGAGTCAAAATCCAGGCTCCTCCGTAAACCGGCTCCGCAGATGCTCTCCTTGACCATCCCTGCCTGCTGCTAACGTCACCCGTGCCGGGGGCTGGGAAAGGCGGGGAGAAGCGGCTGGAAAATGACTTCTCATGGGGTTTGATGCCCCTTTCTTCCCCCCGAATCCATCCCGCCCCAGCAGCACGAAGCCCAGCAGCCCGGTGGCAGGATTAGACCCATCCACAGTGCCTGGGGTGGATGGATGCTCATGAAGTCCGCAGCCGGGGGATGAAGAGCAGTTTGGGGACAGTGTGCAGGACACGGACGCCTGTGCGGGGACAAGGCCACCCCACACCTCCTGCCCGAGGGAGCAACACGTCCAAACCGGCCCCACAGCAGCCGGGACTTGAGTCCCGGGGGTCACACGGGGCTCCCATGGGGAGGGGACCTCGCTGCAGCCCCAGGGCTCCCACCCGCGCTGCAGCCGCCGTGTCCCGGTTTTGGCCATCGGTGCGGTCCCCATCCCACGGGCACCCGGGGATCAGCTGGAACCCCCGCGGGGAGCCCCGGGACTGGGGGGGGTCTCAAACCGACCCCAAGCCCCGCTCCGATCTCCCGGTCCCGGCCATCACCGCCCATTCCCGGTGCACCGGTGGGGGGGGCGGGTCACCCCCCTCCGTTACATAAGGGTTACGTCAGGGCGCCCCGCCCCTCCCGGTCACACGGCCCCCGGCCCGGAGCCCTCCGCCGCGGCCCAGGTGAGCACCGTGGGCTGGGCCCGGCGGGGCAGGGCCGGGGTGGGGACACCGGGCCCGGGGCGGTGGCACCGGGTGCCCGCCCCGATGCCCGGCCTGTTTACACCGGGGCGGCGCGTACCACAACGGCGGGGGGACAAGGCGGGTGGCAGCCGCGCTGAGCCCCCGCCGCGCTGAGCCGCCTTGGCAGCGCGGCGCCCCCGTTACCGAGCACGGGGTTGGGGGTACCGGGTTCCCACCACCGAGCCCCATCCCGCTGCCGGCTGGGTTCCGCTTCCTGGCTCCGTGCCCGCTCTCCCCCCCTCGCCGCCGCGATGGTTCGTCCCGCGCCGCCGCGATTGGCCGAGCGCTTAAAGGGGCAGGCAGCGCGCGCTTTTCCGCCCTCGCCGGCGCGGCGCATCCCGGTGCGCGGGGCGGGGGGGGCGGCGGCGGCGGGCGCGCGGCCCCCCCTCGGCGGCGCCATGGAGGCGGCGGATGGCGGCCGCCGCGGGACACAAAAGGCGGCGAGGCGGCGGCGGCGGAGAGCGCCTCAGCGGGGCCCTATGGCGGCGGCGGCGGCGGCAGCGCCGGGGCCCGGCCCGGTTGGCGGCGGTGGCGGCGGCGGAGCTCCGCGGTACAGCCTGCTGGCCGAGATCGGCCGCGGGGCCTACGGCGTGGTGTACGAGGCGGTGTCGGGCCGCAGCGGCGCCCGGTTGGCGGTGAAACGGATCCGTTGCGACGCTCCCGAGAACGTGGAGCTGGCGCTGGCCGAGTTCTGGGCCCTGACGAGCCTCCGGCGGCAGCACCCCAACGTGGTGCGCTTCGAGGAGTGCGTCCTGCAGCGGCACGGCCTGGGGCAGCGCATGAGCCACGGCAACAAGCGCAGCCAGCTCTACCTGCGCCTCGTGGAGACCTCCCTCAAAGGTACCCGACCCCCCTTCCCACCCCCGTTACCCGCACCGGGCTCTGTGCTCACAGGGGGTGACCGGTGGGACACCCCCAGCCTCGCTCCTCAACACCACCCCCTTGTTCAGCCCCGTCCTTGGGGGCCCCCAACACCCTCCCTTCCACCTTAACTCACTGTTTCTCCTGTGGAACACCCCATGGCTCCTCTGTCCTGCTCCTTGCCAGCCCTGCTGTCCCTCTGCCCCAGCCACGCTCCCATCACCTGCCCCTGTTCTGTCCCTGTGCTGCCCCAGCACCCCCCTTTTTTGCTGCCACCCACCCCAAGGACCCCTGTGGGACCCCCACACAGCATCCCTTGTGCTGGGCCCTGCTCTGTGCTGCGCCCTTGGGCTCTGCCTGTGCGTCCTGTCCCCTTTCTCCCCTTCCTTTCCATGCTGCGCCCAGGGACACCTCTCTTGACGCCCTCACCCTGTTCTTTAGCAGCCCTGTGGGCTCTCTCCTTTCGCCCTGCATCTCTGCAGCACCCCATCCCTGACCCCCTCCTCCTGAGGGACCCTGTTGTCACTTCCAGGCTTGGACCCAGCCCTGGGGAGCATCCCCGTGTGCTCACCTCAGCCCTTCCTTGCATCCCTGCCATTACTTACCCCCTTCTCCTGTACACCACTTCTCCTGAGGCTCTGCGCCACAGCCACGCAGCCCCTGACCTGCGCCACAGCACACACACGCATCCCTTGGGGACCTTCACTGGTCTCTGTCCTGGTCACACCAAGGGGACATCCCTCCTGTCTCTGCCTGACCCACAGTCCTGTCTGCTCTGAGCCCCCCTGGCCTGCAGCCGTTCGGTGCCCTGGTTGCTCCCTCGAGCTCTTAAACGTTTGGGACCATTCTTTGTGTTCTCCTGGCTCCCCCTGTGCTGGCTCCGTGGGTTCAGCCCAGGAAGCACCAGTGCCCATAGCCTGGGCTGACACCCCCATCTTCCCCTGGGGTCCCTCAGTAGCATCACGGGGCTCTCAGGGGTCACCTTCTTCTCTCACAGCCGATAACTGTGATGGTGACATCTCTGAAATGCTCCCTCCCATCCTCTGCTGCTTGTCAGACCCAGCTCTTGCCCATGTGGTAAAGACGTGGAAAAGTACAGCACCCCTGTCTGCTCAATGCCTCTGTGCCCCCCAGCTTCCAGAGCCAGCTCACCCCACAGCCTCCATCCCCAGACTTGTGTGCCAGGACTCCCATATGCTCCTTGAGGAGCTCGATCTCCCCATACTCCCTGGTATAGGCAGTCTCCAGACTCTGCACCACGCAGACTTCACACAGGGCTGCCAAGACCCCCATCCTCTGAGCAACCCTCAGGGTCTCAGACTGCCCCTGCCTCTCCTGTCCCCTCTGCACTCCTGGGAGAGCATGTCTGGACCTGCCTGGCTCTCCACCGTGTGGACCTCATCCTGCTCTCCCCCCGCATTCCACACACACCACCCACGGGAGGCTCCCCAAGGGCACTGTCCTGATTTCTGCATAGCCTGGGTGCTTCCTTGGTGTGCTCTCACAGGCACAGCTCCCTAGAGGGGAGCCAGCTCTTCCCTTTGGCTGTGTCCAGCTGTAGGAAGTCATGTTCTGCCTGCAGATACAAGGTTTCTGGCTCCCTTTGTCCTCTTCACACCCCATGAAGGGGCTTGGGGAAAGCTCCTGGGTACCTATAGGTCCCCCATCTCTAGGCAGGGAGAGAACCCCCTGACTTCCCTTGCCATTTGCTGCCCCGGTTCTGCTCCAGCCCTCTGAAGAGAGGAGCGGAGCTGAGCTCTCCATCCCCAAGGCTGGAGAGCAGCAGTTGCACTCCCCAGACCAGGATGTGTCCTCCCCTCCGGGTGCCCTGTGGGCTGCGTTGGGCTCGGGCAGAGGTTCTGCTCGCTGCCTTCCTTTGGGTCTGATAGAGCGCTGATAAGGCTTTTCAGAGCAAAAGCTGGGGCCAGAGGAGCCTGCAGGTCTGCTGTGTCCCTCCCCATGTGCAGCAGCAGGGCTTTGCTGGGCTGTGCCGCCGTGCTGCTCGGCACGACCGCAGCGGGGCTATTTACGGGCCAGCACAGATGCTGTGCCAACGTGCCGGGGCTCAGGGCACGGCAGGGATTAATCAGCCTTGCTGCATCAGGAGCACCGCTGCCGGGGTACCGGGCACTGTTGGGGCTCAGCTACAGCAGAGCCCAACCCCTCATTGTTTTAATGAGATGGGGAATGAAGAACTTAAGGGCAGAGTGTAGAGAGGAAGCTGGAAGCCTGGGATGAGCCTGAGGAGAGGCGCATCCCTGAGCAACGTGCTTGGTGCCATGATCCACGTGTACCTTCAGGGCTGTGCATGGCCATGTGGCTGCCCCATCGCTGGCAGTGTTCAAGGCCAGGCTGGACACAGGGGGCTTGGAGCAAGCTGCTCTAGTGGAAGGGGTCCCTGCCCATGGAAGGGGGTCGCAACTGGATGAGCTTTAAGGTCCTTTCCAACACGAACCAGGCTGGGATGATTTCTCTGTGCTCCTCTTGTTCCTAACTCATAGCACCCAGGCTTTGTGCTGCCAGCTCCCACCTCTCTGGTGCAGCCTCTTTGCACAGAGGGAGTCCACGGTTACCTGTGGGGAGTGGGATGCTGGGTCTGCTGTCATTACACTCTTTTCTATCGTGATACTAAGCAAATTAGAAGCTGTTAACAAGCTCCCAGGGTAGGGGGTGGGAGGCCTGCTGTGAGGATGGAGAGCTTGGTGAGTGCTGTTCTGTTTGGGCAGGGGATGCTCTCTTTGTGATGGAGAACAGCTCTGGCCTGTCTGCCTCTCTTCAGCTCTTGGCTGCTTGACATCAGTTTGCAAACATCTCATCTTTAGGAAGCGCCTTGCCAGCTCTTTATGTTTCAAGCTGTTTGTTTTGAAGGTAGGAAGATGATTTAACAACTCAAACGCTTTCTGATTATAGAAAGAAAATGAGGAAATATTACTGTTGGCTGCAGCCCCTGTGAGCAGCGCTCCACCCAGAGTGAAGAGCACGGGGCTTGCAGCTACTGCTGGGTCAGCAGCATCCTCCCTCTGCTTGCTGAGGCTCAGGGGCCAAGTTTCACATCAGAACCTTTGTTAGGCTAAGAGCAAACCTTGAGCCGTGTGAATGCTCTCACCCTCCCACTTAATGGAGGTGGCTGGCTATGTGTGATGGGCCATGGGGCTTGCTGTGCCCATCATGGTGTGGTTCCTGGCTGAGAAGGCCCAAACCCTTCTGCTCCCCATGTTGGGGCTGTGTGGATGTGGAGAGGAGCAGGAAAGCAAAGCTCTGTGCCCTGCTGGATGTCACTGGGGTTTAGCAAAGCCGAGTGGTGTGAGCTGGGGCTGTCCTGGCTCTGGGGGCCGAGCAGCCTCTGCTTCAGTTTCCATGCTGTCATACTGGCCTTGCCAAAGGGGGTGGCTCACACCAGAGAAGCTGCTTTTCCTGGGCAGTGTTTTGGCCTCCAGAGCCAATCTGTCCTGGGCTGCTCCCGCTTGGCCCTTGGGTTCATGTGCTGAGCCCCCCTCCAGCACTTTAGGGGGCTCATTTAGCGCGCTCAGTGCTTTGTGCTTCCAGCCTGTTCGTGCTCCCTCCCAACATCCAGACCTAGAAGATTGCTGAGGGCGGGAGGTTCAGCCAAATCTTGCTGTTGTTCAGACTTCCATTTCCATAGCAGTAGCCATGGATACAGACTGTTTGTGCAAATAACCAATATTCCCACCCACAGCAATCGCTGGCCATCCCAGGGCTCGGTGTTCATCAGAGCCCTTGGCTTTACCTGCTCCTGGAAGTTCCTGCTTTTCCCAGATGCTCTCTAGGGCTTTGCTAAAACAAAACCCAACGTTGTCAAACGGGTGGAGTTACTGAAGTGCTTTCAGAACACTCGGGTTCCTCTGCGTGACCTGCACTGTGGCAGAGGCAAGTGGTGGCCTCCAGCTTCCCTCCCTTGCGGTGTCTGAGGGTGGAACAAACCCTGGTTCCTAGAGCCCTGGTTGTGTGGGCAGGCTCTGCCTGTCCTCTCAGTGCTCTGGGCAGGTAAACAGGGGTCTGGAAGCGGGGTTTGCATCCTGGCATCAGCTGATGGGGCTGGGTCTGCCACTGGTATTCCCTAGGGCAGCCTCGTGAGCACAGTGCCAGGTTGTCCTGGGGAATACCAGTGGCAGACCCAGCCCCATCAGCTGATGTGATGCTATTGCATTTCTCTCTGTGTCTAGTTACGCGCCAGAGTGTTTTGCCTTGGCAGGGGGCTTGTGGAGTAGGATGCGTTGGACCCGAGATGCTCTGAGCTTAAAGAGCTCAATGGGATGTCTAATGAAGGAAGAAGCTGCTTGGGGGGTAACATTGAGCACAGCAAGTTACATCCATAAGTGTGGCTGAGTGCACCCAGCAAACCTTGTTTACTGCTTGGGCCTCCAGTTTCCTCTCTTGAAAGATTTGTTGGCACTATTAAGAGCTGTATGAAGTGTTTCTGAGCACAAACACAGCGCTTAAACACACAAGTTTAGTCTGAGAAGTGCCAGCTTTGACACTGGGGTGTCTGTTCTTAGCCAGGCTGGACTGGCACGGCGTTAAGCCATGTATTTACTCACAGTGACACTAGGAAGGTATAAGCCAGTTTTGCCTCCTGCAGCAGAGCTCAGGTGGGAGAGGTTTTGTTCACATAGAACTGATTTTTTTTCCTATGGACTTGCTGCTGTTTTGTGCCGTTGGTCTCTGCTGCTTTGGCTCTCAGAGCCCAGGGAGAATTGCTCTATGGCAGCACAGGAGAATAACCCTCTGGTTCAAGTTCCCTGCAAGCATCTGAGAAGATCCGTGCTTGATCTCACTCACATGTGTGTGCATTGCGTGGAGCAGGTCCCTGATGCAGTGGGCTCAGGTAAAGGTCATGCTGGTGCATGGCACTCCATGGAAACCTAGAGCCTTTGAAGCCACAGCAGTGCCACTGTCACTGCTGGTACCTGCAAGGGCAGTAGATCCCGGTCATGTTCCTAGCGCCCTTACTGTCCACATAAACCAGATCCATTCCTTGCCCATGCTGTTAGCGTGGACATTGTGCAGTGCCTGATAAACTCATGCTTGCTCTTGTCCTTTTTCAGGTGAGAGGATCCTGGGCTATGCAGAGGAACCTTGCTACCTGTGGTTCGTCATGGAGTTCTGTGAAGGAGGAGACCTCAACCAGTACGTGCTCTCACGAAGACCTGACCCAGCCACAAACAAGAGCTTCATGCTGCAGCTGACCAGTGCCATTGCCTTCCTGCACAAGAACCACATTGTCCACCGGGACCTGAAGCCAGACAACATCCTGATAACAGAGAAGTCTGGAACCCCTGTCCTCAAAGTGGCCGACTTCGGGCTGAGCAAGGTCTGCGCTGGCCTCACTGCTCGGGGCAAGGAGGGGGGGCACGGGAACAGGAATGTGAATGTCAACAAGTACTGGCTGTCCTCGGCTTGTGGCTCTGATTTCTACATGGCCCCCGAGGTCTGGGAGGGACACTACACTGCCAAGGCTGACATCTTCGCTCTGGGCATCATCATCTGGGCCATGATTGAGAGGATCACTTTCATTGACGCGGAGACCAAGAAGGAGCTGCTGGGGACCTACATCAAGCAGGGGACTGAGATTGTGCCTGTTGGGGAAGCGCTGCTAGAAAACCCAAAGATGGAGCTGCACATCCCTCAGAAACGCAGGACTTCCATGTCTGAGGGGATCAAGCAGCTCTTGAAAGACATGTTGGCTGCTAACCCGCAGGATCGACCTGATGCCTTTGAGCTTGAAACCAGGATGGACCAGGTTACATGTGCTGCTTAAATTCAGGGCAGGGCACTGCTGTGCTTTGCAGCTGGGTAAGTGATCCTCAGTTTTTGTGTTCTGTCCCCTGTACCAGCCCGACAATGTACTTTGTAGTGACACAAAGGAGGCTTTTATGTTCCCGGAGCTATTTCTATAGTGACTCATCAGAGCACTGCTGCTGAGGTTTTTTTCCACCTATTCTACTGCAAAAATAAAGTCGAGGTGGGAAACAGAATTAACAGCTACGTGTCCCACTGCTGCCCAAAGGACCAGCAGAGCAGGCAGGGCCGGGCAGGCATCCTGCTCCTCCGAGGTCCCGCTGGTGCATGGCAGAGGGATCTGCACTCACCTTTGGGTACTTCCATCTCTCCCAGGGGCAGGGAAGGAGCTGCCAGTTCTGCCTCCTCTGCTATGTGGAGCGTAGCATCTAATTTCTAGGCCTGTGTCTGCTTACAAATCAGCTGTGCTCAGCCTGAGCTCAGCTCTGTTCAAGCAGAGTCCCCTCCCTTCTCGCCCCAGCTTGGTTTCTAAGTAGTCCCAAACTCAGGGGTCCTGGTTCTGAGGCCTGGGTGCTCATACATGGTCTGGAAGGGACCCCAGGGACATGGGGTAGTTGGCCCTGCCATTAAGCAGTGATGCTGAAGGGCGGGGAGGTGTTGCCTGCATGGCAAAGCAGTGTGTAAACAGGAGCTGTTACTAGGGATTGTCCTGGCCCAACACTTCAATTGAAGTGACAAAAGACTGATTACAGGGGGTGAGGTCTTCCCAGCCTGGTTCTTTCTCAAGCTGCTGCAGAGCTGCCTGAGCATTGCTGGTCACAGGAGACCTCTGAATGCCTGCCTGTGTCGTGTGCTGGTGCTGCAGCTCCGGCTCCCAGCCCTGCCCTCACCCCAAAACCACCCAGAACCTGCTGGACCAGAGCAGACCACAGGTACAGGAGAGCACAGAGGGACAAGCAGGCTGGCCCATGCCCAAGAGTGAGCCTCCAGCAGCAGGAATGTGGGGGCATTTGGGCAGGTGTTGCTAAAAAAGCCTCATTGCTGCCCACCTGAGAGCTCCTGAGCTTATGTAAAGCAATGTCCTGCCCATCCCCTGCGTGTGTGTGTGTGTTCCCAGATAAGCTTTGTGCTGTGTGCAGAGCAATAGGGATACAGAAATGGAAAGGCCCAGGGGTGGGTCTAGTGCTGTCACTGCTGCTTTGTCCAAACTGGCCCACAGACCATCCCTGTTATAAAATATTTCATTATAAAATGGAATATTTAAGGCCCTGAAGATCTCCAGCCAAGGAATTGATGCGACTGCTGCTGCCTGGGGCTGGTCCCAGTGCAAGTGTGGGCTGGGGAGATTAGGGTGGGGAGTGAATCCGCGGATGTAATGGGTGTGAAGAAGTCCTGGGGCAGGAGCAGGGCTCCCTTCCTTGTGCCCCAGGGCCAGGCGTGGGTCTCCTCTGCCTGCTGGCAGCAGCTCTGCTGCGTGGCTGAGGGGCTGGTTGGGCTTTGCTGTGCCCATGTGCAGTGGCTCTGTGCTGACTCGATGCTGCTCAGTTATGCAAGCAGCCCCTGCCCTGCGGGGAAGCTTCATCCTGCAGAATAGTACAGGCAGGGATGACAAACACCGAGGGACAGTCCTACCCTGGGGCTGTTTGCTTAAAACCCAGCTGCCTTCTGCAGCACACCCCCCCTCTATCTGCAGCCAGAGCCAGCCCTGAGTCTGCACTGAGCACACAGTCCATGACGCAGCTGCAGCAGGGATGGATGCACTTGCATAACAGTGTGCCCAGATAGGAGCCCAGCAGCAGCCATCTGCTCTCTGCACACCCAGAACGTTCCTCTGCCTTCTTTCTGGGGTGGCAGAATGTTCGGTGTGCTTCCTATAGGGTTTTCCTAATGCATTGTGTAGTTGTGCATCCAAATCAGCTGACCTCTGGCTGTTATTAAAGGCAGATCTTAAATTGGAAACCTGCTTGAGTGGCTTAAAATGGGATTTAGAGCAGGGCCTGGATTCTGCTCCCAGGTACTTTAAGTTGGCCAAGAAACTCATGTAACCTAACTTGATTGTGGCACTGGCACGTAGCTTATGATGCTGCTGGGTCATGCAGTGGGTCATGTTCTTAGGACAGCTTCAGGCCCTGCTCAGCCTCGGTTTATGCCATAACCTGGAAAGCTGTACCCCTCCCTGGGCCAGGCAATAGGAATTCTGGTTGTTCTTTGGTGTGTCACCGACCTCTTCTGATTTTGCTTCGTGTCCCAGCAGCTTTGCCTTTAGCTCTGCTATGGATGCTGCACGCAAGCCCGTCAGCAGGCTCTGTGCTCTGGTACCCTTCCAAAAACACAGGTGTGGGGTGTCAGTTCTCAGCCAGGGAAGTGTTTCTGGCTTGGTTTCTGCTGGAGATGAACCTGTTATCTCCTCTTATCTCCTTGTTCCCCTTCCCAGCTCTGGTCCAGTAGAGGTGAGCAGCATTTCCCTAGGCAAAATGAAGTTGTTCTCTTCATTTGCACACCGTGCTGAAGGCTGTTCCCAAAGGCGTGCCAAAGGACAAAAAAGCCTGTCTAATACAATAAGGCAGTGGCTGTATTGGGCTGATAATGGTCTCCTGGTGGCTGTGGGATGGCCCAACTCTGTGACTGCCCCCCACTCTAAGGAGTATTTCACCCCCTTCTCGTCCTTTGGAGAAGGCTGGGGCTGTTTTCCTCTCTCCTTTCCTGCAATGTGAGCATCTTTGTGTGTCTTTTTGGTAGCTGCCCTCTTGAGTTCCCCTGGCTAGATTGGGCCCTCCCATGGGTGCTGCTTCAGTGGGACCCTCTGATGCTGTGGGGCTGTGCAGGGTGTATTGGACAAGCCTGAGTTGTGAAAGTGCTGGGTTACCTCTCCCTCCCCTGTGCTGAGCCCTCTGCTACCACGCAGACCTCCCTGCCACCTCCCATCCCTGCCATGCCCCACGCATTGGTGTCATCCTCATCCGCATTGGTGCTGGGTGAAGACCCCACAGGCTGCTGCTGCTTCATATCCTGCTGCTGCTGAATGAACATTCGAGCTGATTAAGAACTCTAAATGGCATCAGCGGAGGGATCGAAAGCTCTCGAGCCAGCCCCTGAAGCAACGTGCGTCAGTGGGGTGAGCTGTCCTGCCTCAGAGCTGCCAGTGCTGCTCCTCAGAGTGCTCCCAGGAAGCACAAGTGGAAGCATGGCCCTGTTTGCCAATGGAGCTGTACCCCTGGAGAAATCTTTCCTTGGACAAGGTTCCTCCCGACCCGCTGTCCTGGTGCCTCTCGGATCTTCTCAGAGAGGCTTCTTCCTGCCTGCAGCCTGCAAAGGCAGCATCTCCTGGTTAACCTCTGCTGAGCAGCACCGTGCCTGTGGCCCTGGCTCCTGCTGTGAGCAGAGAGGCAGCCTCTCCCTTCAGAAATGAGGTCCTCAGGCCTGGATTCCTTCAGTGACATTCCCGAGGGCAAAGGGATTTGAGCAGTTTGCTGGGCAGTGGCAGTTCTTCAGCACGTCCGCTCTGTTTGGTGTCTCTGCAGAGCCCCTTGCCTGCTCCTGGTGGCAAAGGACCTGCTCCTGCAAAAGGGGGGGCTAAATTCAGCCCCCATCTTCCTGTTTTCCATGTAACTGAGCTTAGGTCTGGGGGAAAATGGAACTCCTGTTAGCTCAGGAGCTCCCTCCATCAGGTGGGTCCCAAACCACCCCTTGATGCTCCCTGGCCTCAGCTCTGCTGGTCCATCCTCTGATGGCTGTGACACCCTGAATGATGCATTTCCAGCACAGGAGTGACATTTGGGCACGTGTTCCTCTCCTGGCTCCAGCCCTGCTGCTGGCTGGGATGTCACAGGGAATTTGCTGGGCTGCAGGCGATGCGGGTGGAAAATGCTACTGGGTTATGTGCGGGGTTGGGGTGTTTCTGCATCCCTGATTTGGAGGACGGGAGCCTGCAGCGCCAGGGCTGTGGGTGCTACATGGCCAGGGGGGATGCTGTGTGCTGGGGCTTTGACCAGAGCAAAGACCTGCCTGTTCTTCCCTAAAATCCCCGGCACTCAGCATCCTCTTGGGCTGGTACAGCCCATCCTGCTCCTCTTTCCATTGCACAGAAGTGGATTTTCACCTCCTCTTGCAGAGCCACTTGAGCAGCCGAGCTGCTGCTGCTGCACAGGGTGAGCAGTGCAGGGTGTCCCTGTTGGCACAGCTTGTTCCACCTCCCTGTGAAGGACCTGGTGCTGGCATCACGTGGAACCTCAAGGCTGTCACATTCGTCCTTGTTCCAGCAGGGCTGTCACTGCTGTGAATCCCATGGGATGAGGCTGCCTCCAGCACCAATCTGGTTACCTTTGCACCTTCCACCCCGTGCAGTTGGTGTGGGCAGTGCTGTTTAGGGGCTGGGTAATGAGAAGCTGTGCGCTCACTTTGAGTCCTCCCAGACCCTCAGGATGCTTTGATTAAGGCTTGGGAGTGAAAGGAGAGGTGCAGGGAGCGCATGGGATGAGCAATGCTGATGCAGTCTGAGTTGGTGGCAGGGGGAGGGCTGGCAGGGCACTGGCACAGTGCAGTAACTGGCACAAACCCACTGACATACCTGACCCCTCTTTCTCCTCTCTTGCTTTCCTTGCAGGTTTATTTACCAGGGACCCATGATCTCCATTATTTACGTGCAAGGAGGGAAGCTGAAGCTAAGGGACGATGAGGATGATGATGATGATGATACAGAAGATCTCTGGTGTGCAGGATCTCTGGCAATGTGAAATCTTTGGGTGTTACTTTCTGTTGGGATGGGGTGTTCTGGGGGCACAGGAGGGGGCTGCAGGGGCCTATGGAAGAGCAGCAGCCATGCTCATGAGACTTAAACACAATCTAGGGAGCAGAGCTGCCCTTGCCCAGCCCTCCCCTGTCCCCTGTGTTGCCATTTGACTCTGTGGATGTTTCGAGACAAGATCTGGTTCCATAAGGAGGTGGGAATCAGCCTCCAGGCACCAGCTCTGGGTCTGGCTGGGCACAGCTTTGGGTTTGAAGCTGTTGCTTCTGCGGAGGGGAAACGGGAGCAGAGCGATTGCCAGGTCTGTACCAGCAGTGCAGTGCTTCAGAAACAGAGTCCCTGCAATCAGGTGTTACAAACAGCTAAATCATTTCATAGCCAGGCAGCTGCCGACCAGGGGGATGCTGCCCTGCTGGGAGCAGTTGACATTAGGATAGAGTAGCATAACCAGGCTGGGAAGGCATTTGGTTGTGATGGGCAGATGTTTGTTCTCCCCAAGCTGGATTTCACTCTTCATGCTTGGTACCTCACAGAGGGTGATGGGGAGCCCATAAGCATGTTTTCAGTGGACAGAAACAAAGCAGTCCACTGCCCTGATCCATTGAATGCCAACCTTCAGCTGTTAGGAACTTGGGAGACGAGGAGGTTTGGCCTAAATGGCTCAGGGCTGGATTCTAGCCTCCCATAAAACACTCTTCCCTGCTAGCTGACCATCTCCAGGAAGCAAATGCTGCTGTTTAGGTTTGGTTACGTACAGTACAGCTCAGGTAAGGAGATTGCAACCTCAGGCTGAGCAGTTAATACTCGATTTCCTTGCCTATATTTAGAGCAACACTAATATCCTGGGGCTGACCCGGTGTTGATGGTCTTTAGACTTTGCTCACTGTAAATGCAATGTAAAGCAGCACCTCTTCACCACCCCGTGGGTTCTGAACCAACTAAAGCCATTTCTCATCGGGCTAAAACACCAGGTTGGTCTGACCTGGGTGCTCAGCCAGGGCCTTGGGCAGCACAGGGTCCCTGCGAGCCCTCACCCCTGGCTGTGGGAACTGCTCCTTGCCTCTGTGCAGGCTGCAGCTTTCCTGTGCCATCACTGGATCACTGAACTGGCAGCACCTCCTTGTATCTCCTCAGTGTTACCTTGCTGACCTCAGGCGGGCTGAAGCAGGGAAAGGAGGGATGGGTTTCTCTTTCTGTCTTCCGTCTATTCCAGGACACAGAGCTAAGGCTGTCACTGCAGGAAGGCCAGGTCCCTCTTAGGAGGGTGGTCTGGAGCTTCCTGGCACCATCTGTCTGTGACTTGTGAAGGTTTGGAGAGCACAAACTCAGCACCAAGCCCCTGTTCCCACATTGCTCTTCTGGAGATGCTGCTGTGGTCTGTGGCCAGCCGCAGCCAGCCCATGTGTGTACCCATGACCAGGCTGGTCACTGGGGTGTGAGCAGTGTGGGGTTGGGCACAAGGTGCTGAGCTGCACTCTCAGGGCCTTTGCCTGCTCTCATTTCTCTCTAATGAGCAGCAGATCCCTGCAGTGGCCATGCCAAGCTCCAGAGCCCTGCATCCCCCGGGAGCGCTGGACCCACAAGCACAGTGTTAATGCCCTGAGCACTGGACCATCCTTCCTCCACCTGACAGAGCCTTTGCTCCTGACTGTTACAACTGTTAGAACTTAACCTTGGCTTGAATGGGTGCAGCAAGAGGGCTTCTTTACCCTCCCAGCCCTGCTCATGTGGCTTTCCCCGCTGGAAGAGCCCCTCGCCAGGCATTACATCCCACTTGAAGGGAGCTTCCTAGCAGGAGGTTTCCATGCGTGCAAGCCAAGCCTGAACCATGGGACATGGAAGCTGGTGAGTGAGCTGCTCACCGGGACCACTGCCTCCAGCCAGGTGCCTGTACCCTGCAGGCAGCTCCCATTTGGAAGCGGGCAGGAAGCATCCAGGCAGGCCTTGGGAGGGTCAACCCTCTTGCTCCAGCCCCTTTTCCAGGCCACCTTCAAACCACACGTCTCCACCTCAGCTTTTGCATTGCAGGTGTGTGTCTCAAGCAGCTTGATGTTAGTGAGCTAGACCGTAGTGCCTTACTTAGGATTTAGCAAACACTTCCAAGGATGAGTCCCAGGGCTGCTAGCCTTTCCAACGTGGATGTTCCCCTCGTTAGTTTGTCCTATGAAGAGCATTTTCTCCCCGATGATTTTGCTGCTGTTTGTGCTCGACTGCCCACACTGTACAGGAACCTGCCTTGTTTACAGCCCCCAGCATCTCTCCTCCCAGTTACATTGACCCAGACCAGCATTCCCTCTAGAACAGAGTGGGAACAGCTCAAGCCTGCGTGTGCTGTGGGCTGGAGGATGTTCAGGCTTCTCTTTCCAGGCGGGTCTATCCGGGCATCCTCTGCCCAGCTCCTCCAGGCTGAACTTCTCCCTCTGCTGTCGGTGTTTGACATGAGGATGCGCCGCTGGGCAAACTCAAGCTGAAGACAGCAGCACTGAACCTGAAGCTCATTGCTCAGCCCAGGGCCAGGCTGCTTCCATCTCTTGCTGGCCCCGCTGAGCCTGAGCATCCAGGGCAGTGCTGGGGAACCCTCTCGTGAGCCCCAGGCGGTGCCTGCGCCGAGGGAGTGATTGTGTGAAACTGTTTACTTCTGACTATGCTGTTTACAAGAGGGATGGGATGGGGTGGGGGGGTGGGGGGGACACACCAAGCCAAGCCTCAGGAGGATTGGGAAACGTGTTATCTGCACCAGCCTGCAGCCAGGCCGATGCCATCGCGGGGATCTTCCAGCCAGCTTTGGTCCATGGGGAGGAGAGAGCAGAGGTGGCTCTGGCCTAGAGGGGTTAGGTTAGCTCCCCCTTGTCCCCTTGCTGCCGTGTCTGAGGTTCAGCAGTGCTAGCGACAGATAAGAGTTACCCCTGTGGTCTTCCTTTACTCCTCAGGACCCAGCTCCTTCACATATCAGAGGCTCCCAGAGCCTTTCTGGAGCAATAAGACTGAAATCAAGCATTACCATCATTGTGGAACTCCTCCGTTGTGTGCATTGTCTGTCTCCTCCGTATGCAGTACCGAGTCTGGGTTTAAGCCTGCCAAGAGCCACGGGGCAGCTGCTTCAGGGCACAGACTGGGGTATGTTTCCCTGCACTTTCTGCAGGTCATGAGAGCAGGGAAACGTTGCTGCTTCCCTTCGTCCCCCCAGGCCCAAGCATCATGCTGCAGCTGCCTGGGGCGAGGGGGTTCCTGGTCCCTTTTCGGTGCTGCTGCTGCGGGATGGGTGTGCTGATGGGATGGGATGCAGTGTGTTACCTGTTGTCCTCCCAGCCTCCTACCCCATCAGCCGTGCTCTGCAGAGGGGCAGCAGCTGGGAAGTGGAGCCCCTGCTCCTGTGCTGCTGCAGCAACTGCTCCATCACTAAGGGATTTGTTGCTGGTGGTGGGGAGAGCAGCGCCTGCCGCTCCTCTGCTTAGCAGGTACCAGCACATTCCAGCATGGGGTCCTTCACGTCCCAACCCATTCCACCCCTCGGAGCAGGGCACTGGGCACTGCTGGAAGGGAAGCCCAGGAGCTGCTGTGTTCCAGCTGTGACAAGGCCCGTTTCCCTGCAGCCTGCCCCAGTGCTTTTAACACCGAGGGTGATGCCCGGGCTGCTGTAAAGGTGCATGGGGAGCGCTTGGTGTCCCCATTCTGCTTGTCCCCTCCTGCAGCTGCCTTCAGCTCGTTCCTCCAGGAAACAGCTTGGCAGTTGAGCTGCTTCCCTATGGAGGGAGCTGCTGGAAGCCCAGAGCGAGCGCTGGCTCTCCCTGCAGCCTCCGGGCCAAGCAAGTGGGAGCCAAGGTTTAAACCCAGACTCCAACCTAAAGATAATGATCTTAGCAAAGGAATCTCTATTTCTCTTTCTTTTTGTTTTGCACAGAAGCTGGTGATTTAGGACCTACGTGTGAACAACTTTATAGACATATTTTTTGTACTTGGTTTACTCGCATTGGTATGAGACGTTCTATTTAAGTTCTTTGAACACTGTGGATACCCTGATGTGTATGAGTGGCAGAGGCTTTGTAAGTTAAAGAGACGTTTGTGTGAATAAAAGCTATTTGATGGGGTTGAAAAGCCACACACAACTTGAACACCGGATCGGTGTGTTTGTTCCTCCACCAGCACCAGGTTAGGAAGGAAGGGGAGTCCCTGAGCAGTGATGGACACGCTCCAGGGCTCTAAACTGGCACCAGCTCCATGCTGGAGAGCTAAGCCTGCATCCGGCTAAGCCCATCCTGGGCTATCCAGCCTGACCCCGGGGGTTTAGGGCACTAAACCAAGGCACAGTGGCTGGTGCCAACCAGAACGTGTCTCCCTGGCGTGCGGCTCCACTGCCGTTTATCCTCACCGGGATTAGGATTAGCCCTGTTCTCACTGCGGATACCAAGTAGGCCACAGTGATTAGTGGCACAGGCAAGCTCAGTCCCTGCCTGCATGCTGCCCATGGGAGCACCTTCCTGTCCTGCCCCTTCCCTTCCCCGGCAGCCCTGTGCATTGGGAGCCAAGGGATGCGCAGCCTCTTGCTCCCCCGCTCCGGCGGTGGCTGCAGAGCCATCAGGGAGATGCCCTGCGGAGCTGCTGCCGTAGGAGCCGCAAGTGATCCCTTTGCGCGCATCCCAGCTGCACAGACCCAAACCGGGCTGCTCACAGCAGCTGCCACCTCCCATAGCCCCGTGTCCCAGTGCCGTGGCCGACATCCACAATGGGAAATGCACAGCGAGGCTGAGCCGCGTCCTGCAGCCATGAGGAGGTTCCCGTTGCACAGGGAGCAGCGCCAGCGCTTGTGCCGAGCGCCCGGAGCTGACGTGGGGCTCGGGATGTCCCAGCACACGGGGCCGTGCCCTGTGCTCACCGCTGCTTGTGTAACAGCCCCAGTGCCTGCACCGGGACGTGCTCAGCAGCCAGTCCCCTCCTGCTGCCCCCCTCCCGCCCCCGGCAGCCGCAGGCTCCCCCCGCACCGCATCAGCATTGTGCTCCCTAATCGCCGCTGACAGGCACCTGAAATGGGTGGTTTCAGCGCAGTGGGGCCGCACTGGGGCTGCTTGGCCACAACCAGTGCGATGCTGAGGGGCCGGAGCTGCCCTGTTCACCCACAGGCAGCAAATGGGGAGGGCAACCTGGGTTTCCAGTGCATCCCCAGCTTCCAGGTGAGTTATCTCAGGGCTGAAGGGCATCATGGCACCCAGTGTGAGAGCAGCGCTGGGTACTCAAACATCTGCCCAAAGCATCCTCCCTGCAGGCAGGGCTCCAGCCGCACTGGGACAATCCCTGGTGTTGTCCCTACCCTGGTGACAAGTGCGGTTGCAGAGTGGCTGCGTGATGCTGCTGTCCCCCCCTCTCCAGTCACCTCCAAACTCCCCAGCACAAACGCTGCTGCTGCACCCCCCAGCAGGCTGGGTTTGCTCTCAGTACTTGTCCCGTTTAAGCTCCATCGGTGACAAGGATCATCCTGCCACCTTCCAGGTTCATGGCATCCATCACTGCCCCGCGGCCGGACACGCAATGCGCTCCCACAGCCCCTCCTAATGTGAAGCTGAAATCCAGCAGGAGCTGGGCTGGGAGCCGGCTCATGTCCCACGCGTGCCGCGGGCCAGCAGGTGAGCTCCCAGCACCTGAGCAGCTTTCCCCAGCAGCAGCAGCAGGGAAGGTTGGTGTCAGTCACCAGGAGGAACTGCGCTCCGGATTCGCTCCCTGGAGACCTGGCATTTCCTATGCAAAGAGGTTCTCAATGCCATCAGGATGCTTCGAGTACGTGATCGCTGACAGAAGCACCCCAGCGCCAGCCCTGTGCTCCGTGGGGACCAGGATGGGGCACGTGCTGGGGTAGAGCTGCACGTGGCTTTGGCGCAGGCAGGCAGAGCATGGGGCGGGCAGGAAAACCCCACCATGAGGCCAGGCTTGTCCTGGGTACCAGCTGGGCAAGGACCATCCTCACCCCGGAGGGGCTCAGCATCAAGCGAGTGCCGCAAGCAGCCCCTTTGCTGTTCCTCTCCCTCCTTTCACACACGGGGAGAAGGTTTTCAAGAGCTTCCTCTCTGCAAAGCCCTGGCTTTGTGTCTCACAGCAAAACACTGAAGTCAAAGCCGTATTTCTTGGGAGATCTCTTGAGCTCCTCAAGCAGCAGCC